CCTCCCTCCCCCCCCCTTCCCCCCCGTTGCCCCCTCCCCCCCCCTTCCTCCCCTTCCCGCCATGATGGCGCAATGGACACCACGCCCACTCCTACTCCTCCACACACCTCTTCGAAGAATGGACGAAACACGGGAACAGCGCAAGGCCCGCTTGGCCGCTATCCGTGCTGCTGCCCGCGCCAAGGAGGAGGTACCGCCTCCCCCCCCCCCCCCTCCCCCTCCCCTCTCCCCTCCCTCCCCCCTCTCCCCTACACTCACCACTGGACACACAGGACGAGACCGGAGGAGGCGAGGAGCAGCCGTCGACCAAGCGGGTGCGAGTGAACGATGTGACGGTGGCGGATGGTGGCACGGGCTCGTCGTCGGTAGCGGCGGGTGCTGGGGGTGCTGAGGGTGCAGAGGGCGCGACAAGCACAGCGGTGGCTGCATCAGCTGGGTCGGGCGAGGACGTGGTCGATCTGGCGCTGGCGCCGATGGCCGCAGTCACAGAGACGGCGGCCACAGTGCTCCCGGACTTTACTAAGCAGGATCTTCTGGCGTTGGCACCCAAGTCGCACGTGGCACAGCTGGAGGCGCCCATCAAGGACAAGCTCGAACTGCTCGAGCGGCGGACAACCCGCGCCATCATGGACATTCTCAAGGACAAGCTTGCTGCCCAGAATGGGAGCACAAATGCGTCGATTGTTGTTCCCACCGCCAAGCCGCAGTGAAGAGGATGAAGGCGGCTTTATGTGTTTGCCGTTTTCACGGCTGCGACGGCGGCGCGTGCGACGACGGCGGCGCCGCCTGCCGCATCTGCTGCAGCTGCATGAACTGCTGATAGCGGGCCGGGTCCGATTGCAGCTGCCTCATGAATTGCTGCTGCTGCTGCTGCTGCTTCTGATACTGGAGCGCCATCTGCGCCTGCAGCTGCGCCTGCGCCTGCGCCTGCGCCTGCGCCTGCGCCTGCGCCTGCGCCTTCGCCTTGGCACGAGCCTGTGCCTGCGCCTGGGCATGCGCTTTTGCGGCCTGGATGCGGCGGGCCTCGGCCTGGGCGCGGGCTGAAGCGTTGGCGGCCTTGGCGGCCTTGGCTGCGTCCTGCTTCTGCTTGCGCATCTTGTCCTTAAAGTCGAGCGGAAGGATGGTCGGGTGCGAGGCGAGCAGCGAGTAAATGGCCGAGGGGATCCAGGGCTCGTCATAGTGCTCGGAACGGCGGGCAAGGTCGGGGTCGGTCTTTTGAGACGCAGCCATTGTCTTGAGCTCGACCTCCTGGGCTTCCAGCCAATTGACCATGGCGCCGCGTGGGTCGCGGACGACGTTGGCGTAAAACTCGCGCTGCCGCTCGAGCTCGTCGATGGCGTGCAGCTCGCGGGCGACGGCGGCACTCAGCTCGGCCGTGGTCTCGTCGTCAGGGTCCAGTGCCTCGCGGGGAACAATCGAGGCCTTGGGCACGCGGATCATGTGCGGGATGGCGGCCGAGACGGTCGACTCACGGGTGACCGGTAGAATCCACGACAGCGGGATGGGTGCGAGCATGTGCGGCTTGATAGCCTTGGGCAGGTCGGCCACCTTGATTTGCGGCATGCCGATGACCGCACGGAGCCGCTCGTCGGCAAGCACGTCCTCGCGTGAGCCCGGCGCCAGCAGCCCCTTCTCCCGCACATAGTCCAAGACGGCGGAGAGCAGGGCGGTCCGCGTCCCGCCAGCCATCCGGGTCAGCGCCTCCAGCTCTTTGGAGGCCGTAAACTGGCGGCACCCGTGGCGGACATCGAGATAGACCCGGACCGACGCCGCATGCGCCGTCCGCTGCAGCGCGAGGCCTTGACCCTTGGCCGCCTCCTGCGAGCCCGTCGTATCTGGCCACTGGATCTTCTCTAGGATCTCGCCCTGCCCGTCCTCGCCGGCATGAACATACACCACCACCCGCTCAAACAGCGCCGCCAGTCCCGGATTCTGCGCTATGCCTTGCGGCACATCCGCCAGCCGAGCATGGATCAGCAGCGTCCACGGACCGCCCGCGACTTGCGCCGGCTGCGACTGCAGCACAAACTCCAACTTGGCCTTGTGCCCGTAGCTCGACAGCGGGAGTGCTGGCGACGCCACCGCAGCCTCTGCCCTTCGCAGTCTCTCGTCAGCCTTGCGCTCCGCAGCCACCAGCCTGTGTTGCGTATGTGAGGAGGGGGGGGGAAGGAAGGACGTACTTGGAGTAGAGCGAGTAGCCAGGGAGGGATTGGATGCGCGAGTGGATGCGGGCGCGGCGGTTCGTGGATGCTCGGTGGAGCTTGTGCTCGCGGGGCCGGTGCTGGCGGGGTTGGACCACCGTGCCGCTGCCGTCGCCAGTCGACATTGCGTCGCTTGGCCGAGGGAGAGAGGTAGGCAGAAACCGGGCGAGTGGCGTCTGGCAAGGAGCAAAAATACTCTCAAGGTGGGATGATGCCAGCTCACGGGCCAGATCCACACTCGCGCAAACACAACAATGCCTACACACACACAGGTACGACCCCGACCTTGGCTGTCGACGTTTACGCATCTCCCGTGGCCTTGGCCCGCTTGAGCTTGAGCTTGGCAAACATCTCCTTGGCTTCATCGGCGACGGCGGCGTTAGACATACGGCGGTTGCCAGTCCGCTTGCGATCGCGCTTCTTGAGGAGGGCCTCGCCGGACTTGAGCGACGAGATGAGGTCGTCCATGGCGAGATTGGGCGGGCCGCCAGCGCCGGGCGGACGCCGGCGGGACGACGACGCCGCCGCCGACGCGCCGGCAGACGACGACGACGCGCCCGCGGCCGTCGCGCCCGCGGCATTGCGAGCGGCAAGCTTCTCGGCGGCGGCCTTGCGCTTGGCGTTCTCGGCCCGGGCTTTGGTAAAGGTCTCGAGGAAAGTAGCGAGGATGCTGAAGAACTCCTCGTTGGTCACCTTCTTGTCGACGCCGAACATCTCGCGGACGGTATCAAACTTGACGTTGAGCTTCTCGGTTGTCGAGTGAAGCTCGGAGATTTGGAGGAAGGCGTACTCGTAAAAGGCCTGCATCTTCTCGGGGAACATGTCACCGGGCGTCTTGTACTCGTCGACGTGCTCCTCAAGCTCCTTGCCGAGCGCATCGAGCGAGCGCTGCAGGCTGCTGATGTCGCCGGCGACGGCGTCGAGCGAGACTGTGGTGGCGTTCTTGGCATGTGCGAGCTCGGCCGGCACCTCGAGGAGGTGCGGGAACTTGGTCTCGACGGTCTCGACGACGACATGCATGAGGTTGACGCCGCCGGCTCCGCGGGTCTCGGTCAAGTTGGTCAGGTTGTCCCACTTGATGCCTGGCATGTCCTTGCGGAACGTGCCGTTGTTCATGTAGTTGGCAAAGGCGAGGATGACCGTGAGCAGCTCCTGGAAGTTCTTGGACTCGGCAAGCTCGTTGCACGCCGTCAGGACCGCGTCAAGCGACGGCCGCACGTCGTCGACGGCCTCGTCAAAACCACGCTTGAAAACAAAGGCCTTGAGCCGAGGCTGGAACCGCGGGATCTTGATCATCTGCATGAAGAATCGCTCGGCACGACCAAGCACCTTGGGGTCGTCGGTGTAGCCCTGCAGAATGCCGATCTCCTCGTCGGTTGGCGCCACGCCCAGAATCGCCTTGGTCTGCTGCTCGGTGAGCGACTCCTCGTCGAGCGCCATGATCGCCTGCCGGATTTCGGCAAACGAGAGCTTGAACCGCCCAAGCAGAATGGCCACGTTATTGCTCCGCTTTGGCGAGAGGAGCATCACGTCCTTGGGCTTGCTCGACTTGGGCTTCTCGACCTTGGCCGCTGCTGGTGTATCCTTCTTGCCAAACAGCTCGTCGAGCTTCCCGAGGTCGAGCTGGTCAAACAGGACTGTCTCGTCCACATCGTTCCAAATGGTCTTGGCGATGAGCCGCTTGGGAATCTTCGACAAGTTCACGCCCTTGAGCTTGCACGACGCCTTGGGCACCGGCTTGGCCTTGCGTTTCTTGGCCGGCATCCGCATTCCCGGCGGAGGAGGCGCGCCCGGCGGCGGCGGCGGGCCTCCTCCAGGCGGC